CTACCTGCCTTTGCTGATGCCCTGGTCACCTCTGCCCCGGCCCCTTTTATGCCAGGACACTGACCCCCCCGAACCCTCAGCTCTTTTCTTCACAGTGTCCAGGCCCTGGCTCATGCTGTTTGTCTGCCTGGAAGCCCTTCCCCAGACCCTACCTTTTTTTTATCAAATACTGTTCTTTCAAGGGCAGGATCAATAGCCCCTCTTGGCTAAAACCTTGCATTATCCCTCCAAGCTGAAGGGACCTCCCTGTTTGGCCTAGATTTCCCCATAGTATGTATCACTTTCTGTCCTAGTCTTATTTTTCTTGACGTACCAGCCCAGCTAGCCGCTCAGTACCTTGATAGGGAGATGCAGCCTAGTCTTTAATCACCCCCAGTACCGAGCAGAGCAGTGGGCCCTGAGTAGGCGCTCAGAAGAGGGTTGACAAATGGATGACTGAACGCCCCTCTCTTGGTCCCACACGCAGGCTGCTCCTGCCCCTGGAAGGTGGGAGGGGCCTGGCCGTTACCACACAACCACGTGCCACCCCTTTCTGTTTTGTTACTAGGAGTATGCTGAGGCTGGTACAATGAGCTGGAAAGTTCCTTTATTTTCCAGGCTCTGGAGCAGATTGTAGATAGGTAATAAAAAGAGCTTGGTGCCATTCACGGGGGAGATTTGTCTGTTTGATTTCTTGGATAATTATTGGCCTATTCAGGTTTTCTATTATTTTCTTGAGCCAGTTTTGTTTATTTATGTTTTCTAAAATGGTCCGTTTCATCAAGAATTAAAATTTTTTTTGCTATGAAACTGCATATAGTTTTCTCTCCGAATTAAATATATGTCCAGATCTATAGTCATAGGCCTTTTCTCATTCCAAAGGCTTATTAGACTTTCTTCTCTTTTGTTGCTGCTAATAACTGCTAAAGGCTTTTTTTTTTTTTTAATTGGTCCTTTCAAAGAGTCAGCTTTTGATCTTTGGATTTCTACTACTTTTTTCTTCCTCTCATTTTCTTAATTTCTACTTTCATTGATGAGTTCTTCTTTCCTTGGTTTTATTTTTTTCTTTCCTAGCCCTTGATTTAAATGCCTAGATAATTTTCAGTCTCTCTCATTTTTGAAAGTGCATTTAAAGCTGTAATTTTCCTCTGAGTCCCACTTTGGCCTCAAACCAGAGCTTTTATTATTGTTCATTGTCGTTCAGTTCTAAATTGTTTGTAGTTTCTGCTTTGCTTTTCTCTTTAACTAGAGTATTATAGAGCATTATAGCTTTTTAAACTTTCAAGTGGATAGTTTCTTTTATACTCATGTTGCTGTTAATTTCTGACCTTATTGCATAAAAGTAAAACATAGCCCATGTGACATCTGCTTTCTGGAATTTGTTGAAATTTTTATTTATGACTTAACATGTGGCCAATTTTTGTGACGATTTCATGTGTGTTTGAAAATGCTTATTTACTGTTCAAGTGTTCTCTCAGATTAAGGTTTTTTTTTTTTTTTTTAATAGCTTACTTAAGTAATCTCTACACCCAACGTAGGACTCAAACTCACAACTCTGAGATTAAGAGTCACATGCTCTTCTGACTGAGCCAGCCAGGCTCCCCTCTCAGATTAAGCTTTTAAATTGCTTTATTTAGATCATTATTTTTCGGATGGGGGGGTCAATGGTTCTGTCTGTCTCTAACAGAGATCTTTTCAAGTTCTATCACAATGGTTATGGGACTTGTGTACACCTACTGGGTTTAAAAATCAGGTTTTTATACATGTATGTTTTAGGCTATATTCTCATATACTTACGATTCATGACTTCGGCACTTCTTGATGCTTGTCCTTTGTCCCATTTAAATACATTGGTTTGTCCTGTTCAATGCGTTGGCCTTGAATCCTATTTTGTGGATGCGTGTGGCTAACATATCCTTTTTTACCCTTTCTCTTTTTATTCTTTCTGTGTCATTTTGCTTTGTATATTTCTATCGTAGTAGCAGACAAGTGGATTTTGTATTGAGTGTCTGCTTTAATGGGTAGATTTAACCCATTTGTGTTTAACCGTTGTTAGTTATAGCTAGATTTACATCTGCCATCTTCTTCCGTGTCTCCTTTCTTAGCTTTCTTATTTTTGTGTAGTTTGTTTTTGCCTTTTGTTGGATGTTTCCCATTTATTTTGTTCTGTTTTTTTTTTCCCCCTTCTGATGACTAGGAACTTTTGAGCTTTGTTTCTAGTGGTTATTCTATACACTATGTGTGTTTGTGTGTGTATGATTCTATTTTTTCTACTAACATCTGTGTGTAATTATTGTCTTCACCTCTTCCCAAACGAAGCAAGAAATTTAGTAGCAACTTACTTTCCTCCGTCTCCTACCATCACATATGGATCATCATAGATTTTAGTTCTTTTTTTTTTTTTTAAGATTTTATTCATTTGACAGAGATCAGAAGTAGGCAGAGAGGCAGAGAGAGAAAGGGGGGAAGCAGGCTCCCCACTGAGCAAAGAGCCCAATGCGGGACTCGATCCCAGGACCCTGGAATCATGACCTGAGCTGAAGGCAGAGGCTTTAACCCACTGAGCCACCCAGGCACCCCATCATAGATTTTAGTTCTAAACTGTCATTCATTTTCTTCAAATTGTGTAACAAAATTTATTTAAACTTAACTCTTATGTTTGGCTGTGTTCTTTGTTTATCATTGTTTATAATACCACTCATTTTTTTTTCTTTCATGGATCTATTTTTCACTGTGCTGAAGTATTTCCTCCAAGAATTCTTTTCAAAAGCATGGATAATATTATTTTTAAGGTAATCAATGTGTGAAATAACCATTTTTCCTTTCCAAAGAGTCTATTTTGACTTTCAGCTTCCTATTGAGTTGGGTTTTCTTAATCCTGGATGAACATATTTTCACACATCCTAGATCTCTAGCTTTTGTTTTGGACAATACACACCTTCAGAATTCGTGAATCCATTAGTTACCTATCACCTGAATGTTTTCTGCTGTTCTACTCACCTTCCCATTCCTTCAGCCAAATCTGTGACATTTTCATCTGTTTTGCTGATGGGATTTATTTAGTTGCCCTTGGTCCCTACCCAACATGACACCAACTTTTGCCAATGACCTTCAGCTGTCTACACTGTTCTTCACAGTATATACTTGTCTCCACCAGAAATTATATTACCCATTCTTTTGTTCAGTCTCCCTATTAGATTATGAGGCCCATGAGAGCAAGGATTTTGCCTCGTTCACTCTAGATCTGTAGTGCACAGAACACTGCCTGGCACAGAGTAGGCTCTCACATATTTCTTCAGTGAATAAATGAATGAACAAAATTGGGTAGACTGTTCGCATTCATTTATTCATTCAGCTACTATTTGAGTTCTTTTGTGCCAGCTTCCAAGCAGACCAGGTCCCTGCCTCTGGAAGTGACAGTCCAACTGGGAGCCTCTTAAATGGGCAGGAAGGACAGTGTGCCATAAAGGGTCTGTACGGGGGTCGGGAGAGTCACCACAGGAGCCCAGGCAGCAGAATGCAGTGAATCAGCTGGCCAAGGCAAGGGGAGCAGGACAGGAGGGGTGCTTGGAGGAATGACCCAGAGGTGGAGAGAGCACCCCAGGTGAGGAGGACAGGCTCGCACCAGATGCTCTTCTAGGGCTTCTTTGTGTCAGGCACTGCTCCAAGGGTCTTAGTATTTTTTAAAACCATTTTATTTATTTATTTGACAGAGAGAGAGAGAGCGCACGCCAGCAAGGGGAGCAGCAGGCAGAGGGAATGGGAGAAGCAGGCCCCCTACCGAGAAAGAAGCCCAATGCAGGGCTTAATCCCAGGCCCCAGGGATCTTGGCCTGAGCCGAAGACAGACGCTTAATGATGAGCCACCCAGGCATCCCCGGTCTTAGTATTTTAACTCAAAACAGACCTTAGGATCCCCATTCATAGAAACAAAGGCACAGAGAAGTGAGCTTGCCCGGGATCATACTCTAGGAATGGAGAACCAGACTCAACCCAGAATCTGGCTACAAAATCCGTAGCCATCTGCTCCACTGCCTCCAAGGAGAAGGAAAATGGGTCTGTCAGGGAGTAGAGTGAGCTAGGAAATGGGGAAGGCCGGATGGTGAGCAGGGGTTTGCAGGAGGCTGAGGGCTTTAGCGCCTCAGGGGGTCAAGCATGTGGGTCTCAGAGGAGCTCCCCCAGTGACTGTGACCACTCTGAAACAGCCTGTGTGGAGGATCTTATCTCAGCGGGAAGGAAGCTGAAGGGGAGAGGGCTTCAGGGGTCTGAGGGGTGGAGGGAGGCAGAGGGGGATGGATGGGTTGGGAAGACTGCCTTTGCTAAGATGGTTCATCCCACCTTCTCCCCAGCCGTTCTTGCTTCCTATCACAGCGCCCCTTCCCACCACCCTGTGACAGCCCCATCCTAGGGCCAAGTGATCCTGGCTTTCAGAGGCCTCTCCTTCCCCGTAGCCTGCCTGCTCTCTGTCCACACAGGCTCTGAAGACCCTACTTGACCAGCCTTTTTGGGGCCTCCCCAATGCATGTCCTGGGGCTCTCCTCCCTAAAGGGTGCAAGGTAGAGGCATTGTTTCCATCTTATACAAGAGGAGGCTTATATATCTTATATAATATATATCTTATATATACATCTTATATAAGGGCGCTCAGAAAGTCAGACAACTTCCCCAGGCATCAGTCTGTAAGGACTGTGACAGGGAGCCAAGCCCAGGTATGGGGACCCCCCCCCCCCCCCCGCCCAAGGGATTTTGTAGCAGAGCTGATCACTGGTTTTATGAGGCTTTTCTGTAGACAGTTAAGTCCCGGGGGGGGGCGGCAAGAGGGTTGGAATGGGCAGGTCTACAAATGAGTCTGTTAGGACCTCACTGGGTCCCTTACACTTCAGCTCGGGAAAGCCGTGCAGCCTCTTGTGGGGGCAGCTTGGCCGAGGCACCCTGGGAACAGCCCAGCAGCATGGGGGTCTGCAGGCCATGGGAGCTCTACCGGGGGTGGTGACACCCCTGAGTGGCCTCTTCCCACCCCAGTTCTGGACACAGCTGGGCAGGAGGAGTTCAGCGCCATGCGGGAGCAGTATATGCGCACGGGGGATGGCTTCCTCATCGTCTACTCAGTCACCGACAAGGCCAGCTTCGAGCACGTGGACCGCTTCCACCAGCTCATCCTGCGCGTCAAGGACAGGTGAGGGCCACTGGGCCAGGACCTCCTGGCCCCTGCCTCAGAGCCACCTGTCTGTCTGTCTGCCTGCTTGTGTCTCAGAGTCTCGGGTGTAAGCTGAGACACAGAAGGGCAGAGCTGAGCTCACACACTGGTACCCCCAACTCCTACCCCGGTTCTTTCCATGGGGCCAGACTGCTTCCATGCCCTGAAGTTAGCCCCTCCCATGTCTCCTGAACAGTCCCCACTGATGGCCCCAGTTTAAGCAAATGTTACCGAGTTCGAAGAAAAAGTGAATTTCCTCTCCAGTATGCATTATAAGTCGTTATATTACATTTGACTGTGAGATATACAAGCCCCTAATTAAAGGCTCATTTTTTCCCCTTAGTATTACATGGAGTAATTAAATAATTTATAGTTTCTTTTAAGCCTAACTGGTCTTTTCAGTTAATTGGCTCTTAAAGAAGCAACATAGGAGAGTAAAAGGACAAATCAAAAAGAAAGCAGCAAGCTTTGAGCAAATCTCAGTAAATTCAGAAAAATCTAGGTAACACCTGTTCCAATGGCAAAGTGTTAATGATTTTACCAGGTAAGGGGATACACACTCACATGCACTCATATGCATAAAACTCAGACTCATAAATGTAAGTTAAGCCCCTGTCTATAGGAATTTCAAAATAAGAAACAAATGACTCTGAAGTAGGAAAATATTCAACCTTTTGGCTAACCAAAGTGCAAGGGAAAATAATAAAGTATTATTTTTCACCTGTTAAATTATGACTTTTTTAGATAAAAATCCCCAACGATGTTAAAGATGCTATAAGACTGGCCTTTCTTTCACCTTCAGACAGCAATATGGCTACACACACCAGTGGGAATCTCTAAGGCAGGCGTGCCTTGGGAATCCCATCCCTCCTCTCCTGGGAGCCATCCGGATTTTGCAGCTGCTATTTACTGAGTGCCAGCTGTATACCAGATACCGGCCCTGGTGCTCTTACCCAGCCACTGCTGAAGACCGCAGGAGCCCTGCACGGCCGGCTGGTGCATCAGGATGACCAGGAGATGGGAGGGAGGAGGTCTGGGAAGCCAGCCCCTGGCCCAGCAGCCCCTCGGGAGCCCTCTCTGATGCTGCAGAGCCAGGGGTTGCCCCAGGAGGGAGGCAGGAACCCCTTTGTTCTCTTTGCAGTAAGCCTAAAATCCAGCGCCCCCCCCCCGGGGGGAGGGAAGGGACTCATGAGTCAGCCCCAGGCACACTGGGGAGGCTGCGTATGCCCGAGGTGTGGCTGTGTTGCCTTCAGCAGGTGTGGAGGCAGTGAAATTTCATGAGCTGCTGTTCCTTTATTCCCCCAGAGAGTCCTTTCCGATGATCCTCGTGGCCAACAAGGTCGATCTGATGCATTTGAGGAAGATCACCAGGGAGCAAGGAAAAGAAATGGCGACCAAACACAATGTAGGTGGCGTGCATGCATGCGCGTGTGTATATGAGTATATATGTGTGGGGTGGTCAGGGATGTACAGGAGTCCATGCTCATCACTCCTGCAGGACCTTGGGCCTCCTGGGTAATGGGTTAGATTCCACAGAGAGGCCTGGCAGGCCAAATGTGATGAGGGCAATGTTGGGAAACAAAACAGCAGGCCCGAGAGAAAGCACCCTCTTCTCAGTCATGAGGAGTTCTGGTGGGGGGACCAGGTCCCTTCACTGTGGCCTGGGAGCTGTGGCATTCAGGCCACTTCCTGCCACCAGCACAAAAGATTCATCTCTGGCCTGTGCTGGGGGCTGGCTTCTGAGCATTCTCTGAGCCCGCCGCCTGATTCTGCTCTGAATCATCAGGCCAGCTGCAGCTGGCTAGCCCTGTTCTGTGCCAGGCCTTGTGCCGGGATGCACTCACTCCTCACCAGCCCATGCTGAGGTAGGTATTGTGACACCCATCTTAAAGGTGGTCAGACTGAGGTTTGCCCAGGCCACACCATGAATATCAGTGGACATCTTTGTTTTCTTTTTTTCAGTTCATTGAGATGCCCCTTTGCCCTCTGGATGTGCCGGGTGGGGTCACTGGGCTTCTTCCTACCCCTCCCCCGCAGAGGCACAGCCCAGGCCCCTGGCCTCATGGGTCAGTTATGTAGAAGTCCACTCTGCCTGCTGGGAGCTCTGATGCAAGGTTGCCCCTTTCCTTTGCCTGGTGGGTCCAGCTCTGTGAGTAGAGCAAGTGCACTCAGTGCAAATCACTTCTGTTTGTCTCTGCCTTCTGCTTCATTCACGTGTTCACGTAACTATCCCTGGGAAATAAAACCCCTGGCTTTATGGTACTTACTTCTAGTGACAGGAGACAGATAATAAAAAAGCAAATTACAGTGTGACGTGTGCTGTGGAAAAAAGTAAATCAGGGAAGGGGGTCAGGAATGTGAGGTGGAGGAGGATGCTTTTCCAAACAGGGCTGTCAGGGAAAGCCTTGTGAGGGAGGGTGCATTTCAGCAAGGACTTACAGGAGCCGAGAAAGCCAGGCTGATCTCTGGGGGAAGAAGGTTCCAGCTGAGGAAGTAATCAGTGCAAAGGCCCTCAGGTGGGAGGTTGAGGCTCGATGGGCAAGGAGGCCAGCCCGAGCAGGAGTGGGAGGGGTGGGCTGCAGGAGGCCAGTTCAGAGAAGGGCTTCAGGGCTTTATGGGCTTCTCCTCAGAGGGAGAGGGGAAAGCACTGCAGGGCTTTGAGTGAGGAGTGATGATGAGGTCCGGCTCATGGCTGCACAGCTTCTCGCTTGTGGCCATGTTGAGACAGGCCCTTAGAAGCCAGTTGTGGGAGCAGGGAAACCAGCGAGGGTCTGCTCAGTAACAGCCTGGCCCAGGGTGGTGCCGGTGAAAGTGGCAAGGAGGTGGTTGGATTCTGGACGTGTTTCTAAGAAAGCCAACAGGACATGTGCACAGATTGGATATGGAGTGAGAGAGGAAGAGGGAATGGCAGGTGACTCTGTGGTTTGGGTGTGAGCAGCTTTCAGGAGACCAGAGTGTTGGTAACTAGGCAGGAAAGATGATAGGAGGAGGTATGTGTGAGACAGGAGCTTGGTTGCAGATCCGTGGAGTTTGAGGGGCTGAGCAGATAATCAGATGGAAATGCCAAGATGGCAGTCATATACGGCACCTGGGGGAGTATTGGCCGTCAGCAGCATGTAGATGGCCTTTGAAGCCATACACGCCAAGGAAGCGAGTGTACATAAAGCAGGGGTCCCAGAACTGGCTGGGACACTTCACCTAGTGATGCAAAGAGGTGAGGAGGAAGCCACAAAAGGGCTTGAGCTGTGGGTGACACATGAGGGCCAGAGTGGGGCATCATGGGTGCCAAGTGAAAACTTGCCTCAAGGAGGAGGGAATGGACAGGGCTGCCCCACAGCCTCCAGAGGAGAGCTAGAGACTCCCCGCTGGCTTCTGAGTAGAGACAGGCTGAGGGGCTCCGTTCCCCAGGCTCAGACTCCCTCAGGCCTCTCTCAGACACATGCGCACCCTCCCAAGCCACGGGGTGGGGGGTTCAGAGCAGAGGCTGCCCTCCTGCCCTGCAGCCTGGGGCTCCAGCCTTGCAGCCACGTGTCTCCAGCAGCAAATGCCACTGCCTCGTTTATCATTTGACCGAGCAACTCTGAGCTACTATCACAACATGCTATTCATAAGGCAAGTTCCTCTTTCACTGCCAAGGCAGGCGCCCCACCTGGTGCCAGAAGGTGGCTTTTCCTAGCCCTGTGGTAGAGTCAGACCATGCTACCATTTAGTGCAGCGTTCCCTTTAATTCAACTCTCCTTGCTACTGAAACCCTAGAATTCCAAGAACCCAGATAACGCACCCCAGCATTTCTTCAGTGGTAGAGGCAGGACCCCCAGAAAGAAGGCAGAGGGTGCACAAGGCTCCGGGGGACACAACTGCTCCTATACTTCTGAGTGGTGGGTGGGACAGCCGGCAGCGGTGGTCTGAGTCCTCTGGAACCATGCACCTGCTGTCCTGACAGGACCCCAGCCCAAGAAGGGGCTCCAGGTGGGTCCCAGCCCTAGCTACAGGCACCTTCCTGCCTCCTCTCTGTGTGTGCAACAGGAAGCATGTTGCCCGGCCTCATGGGACTCTGGCTTCTAGGGCCCAGCAGGGATCCCCCGCCCCATGACTGGGAGGGGCCCTGAAGCTTCCCCCGGCATCCCAAGCTATCCATGGGCGGCCAGGCAGGAAGTGCGACATGCACCTGCTTCAAACCTTGATTCCCTGTCAGCTGCAGTGTGGTTCTGGGCGAGTACGTCTCCAGTCTGAGCTCTCAGTGTCCCCCGCCACACAGTGGAGATACATGTTTACCCCCAAGGTTGAAGGTGGGGATTAACTGAGCTCAGGGAATGTTGAGACCTGGCAGGTAAAGGGCCCAGAGTCCTCTCTGTCAAACAGCCAGCAGTGGAGGTCAGTTTCCTTGCAGTGTCAACAGAGGCTCAGAGATTGGTTGGATGACTATTTTAAGAGTCTGAGCCATGCTTCGCAGGCTCTGCCCTTTGCATCCAGGCCAGCCATGAGACCTCCGCTTGAAGCCACAGCAATGTGTGAAGGTACTTTAGGATGTGTTCTGGGCAGTCGTTTACAACATCCTCCTCTAGAATCACAGCTTGCCTTGTCACCCCACCCCCACTGCCCATGCATTTGAACCACTGATTATTTTTATTTTCTTCACTGGGCTTTTCTTTTTTGAAAGTGTTGTAATGAAATGCCTTAATTTTGTAGCCAGGAAAAAGTTATGAAATACTCCCGAGTTCTTCACCCTGACCACAGTAGGTCTCCCTCTCTGGCTTGGGGAAACCTGTATATTTTGCACAAACCTCACACTTTCTCCACTCGAGGGGGAGTGGGCACAAAGCCTTCCTGCCTGTGTGGGGTCCATGATACAGGAGAAGGGATGTGCATAGGACAGCATCCTGACCTCATGCAACCTTTGTTCTCCTCCCTGTGCTGGCCTGAGACTTTGGGTGACATGGCCCTCAACACCTGTCCTGTGGGGCCCCTCAGCCACATCTGCCTGTGTACTGCCATCTTTCGGTGAGGTGATCATTCCTCAGTACCAAACGTGCAGACACAAGCTCTCTGTGCACATGGCTGAGCCCCCAGACTCGTAGGCACAGACCAATTAAGAGCTGAGCCCAGCAAGCTTGTTAGGGGTGAGGAGGCACAGAGCAGCTAGGGGTCACTGAGGCACATTGTCCTGCCTATGGCCCAGCCTCGCCTCAGCCTCTCCTGCCAGAGTCCCCTCTGGAGGGTCCAGGAAGAGGCAGAAGTCCCGTCATGGTGGAGAAACAGGCCTCAGAAAGAAAAAAGAATAGCATCAGACCCTATTTTGGTTTGATAAATGAAACAGTCTTTAGTCTTCAAGTATATAAAAAGATCTATTTTTTTCTATTTTTAGAGGGCTATTAAAGATCTCTCTGATGAGAGAATAAGAGGGAATTTAAGAAGCTGTCAATAACATTTTCCACCCTTAAGGAACAAGACGCCACCAGAGGCTTGAGGTTGTTGGCACTGGGGTTCTGTGGGGGCCTCTGAGAGCAGGTGGTCCCTTGGGACCTCTGAGAATTTGCAGTTTTAGGGAACAGGGCTTTGTGGATCTCAGTGCTACTTTTACCAAGTTGAGCTTTGCCTTCCAGATTCCGTACATAGAAACCAGTGCCAAGGACCCACCTCTCAACGTGGACAAAGCCTTCCATGACCTGGTCAGGGTAATTAGGTGAGTGCTGCACGCATCCCCAGAAGCAGGCTCTCTGCAGCAAGATGGGCACTGGAAGGACTGGAGGGACATGGCTGCTTCTTCCAAGGCCCAGGCTATGCGGTTCTGGGCCTGCTTTGGATTTCTTATCCCTCCATCCATTTCTTTTCCTCGCCCTTCCCACCTTCCTTCGCACACACCCCCTCACATCTCCTACCTCTGGGTGAAGGGGAGCATAAGGGTTCCTTCCTGCCTAGGGTGCCGGCTCAGCTTCCTCTCCAGCTCGGGCTCCCTCCGCCTGCCTTCGTGTTCTCCCAACACAACACCTGTCAACAGCATAGAAGTAGATCCCTGTCCTCTCCCCCAGCTGGAGGTTGGAGTGCCCTGTGACAGTGCACTGGAACCACCACCACTGTATTGCACATGCCCCTGCTTCGAGACTGCACACTCTGCCGGGTCCAGGGGTGGCCAGAAACCCTCATCAGCGGTCTCGCATGCATTTCTTTACAGTCAGGGTCCCAGCTCTAACCACCTCGTGCTCAGAGGGCTGCCACAGCCTCCTGGCTGTTCCCTGACTCCAAGGTTTGCAACATGTGGAACAACCCAACCTGCGGTCCTCATATATCTGGCATTTAGTGTGAAGCTGTGTGTGGTGAGCCCCATGGCTGTCGGTTAGCTGTGGACTCAGGGGCAGGACTCTGACAGTGTATTTCCCCTGTGGCTTCCCGGTGCCCCCAGGACACACACACACACACACACAGCCCTTTCCTCCTCATTCCCTTGGGTGCGCTGTGCTAGCACAGCCCTCACTTCACACTCGCACTCATGGAAAGATCTTCTTGTAGGGATCTTGCCTCCAGCTGGGACATGCGGCCTTTCAGGGAGCTGGTGTATCTTGGTTATGGACCTGTAGTTCCAGGGCAGGTTTTAGACACAGGAATAGATAACAGAAAACATGCAGAAAGCTTTTGGACTCAACAAACTTGTCATTTTATTTGAAATATGAGACATAAAAATAGAGGCCAGTACTGAATAACACATAACATAGCTGAAGATTTAAGTAACTGCAGCCACAACGTGACGTGAGGAATTCTTACCCGTGGGGCCACAGGCTTTGCCCTGCCCTCCCTGCCTTCCCACTTTCTGTGCCCCAGAGACACCATCCAGGCCAGGCCCCCCACCAGCGTCCAGAACAGGCCTGCCGCCTGCACCCCTGGGGCCCAGGAGGAGAGGGGCCGGGAGAAGCAAAGCCTGTTCTGACTTTGTTTTTCTGCCTTTCACTGTCTCAAAAGGCAACAGATTCCGGAAAAGAGTCAGAAGAAGAAGAAGAAAACCAAATGGCGGGGAGACCGGGCCACTGGCACCCACAAACTGCAGTGTGTGATATTGTGACAGGCCTGAGGCCCTGGCTGCGGTGACTGTGACCTGGCCAGCCTCTGGGGCCTTCCACTGCCTAACCGCACTGAAAACCATTTCTAACCACGACCCTCGGCCCGAGGACCTGGCACAGGAAGGGAGAGAGGGCAGGGAGGAGCTAGGTTCTGGCTTTGCCCGAAGGGCACAGGCTTTCCTGAGTCTCACAAGAGACAGGGAAGCAGCCTCCAAGCCCCTCGTGTTGATTCAACCTGGTTCCTCCCTGTCTCTCGGTGGCTGTGTTGTTCCTTCGAAGTACACAGTATTGGTGTGATGTGGAAGTGTGTGTCCACGGACAGAGTACTGAACAAGCCATGATCCACCCCTACCCCGCTGCCCCCAGCCCAGAGTGTCCGAGCTTGGGGGGCTTTTGTAGTTTTTTAAATTATTTTAGTGATTATTATTTTATTAAAGGGGTCTGTGCCCATGGATGGGTGGAGCTTCCGGTCTTCAGCAGGCCTCTCTGAGAACACGTCTGGAATAATGTTGTTGTTGTTTGTGACTGAGTTTTCCCAGCAGTGCCAAAACTCAACTCAACATGCAAGTGGAGGGACTGAGAGCATGGAGGTGAATGGGGACAGTGGCCCAAGGCCTCAGAGGAACATCTCACTCCCGGCCTCCAAACTGCACAAAAGAGAGGTGCAGTCACCCAGAAGGTTTTGCTGTGCCTGAGGGTACAGGTATTAGGAAATGGAGTTTTATTTTGCTTAGGAGAGAGGCTGGCACAAGCACGTCCATTTTTGGAGAGGTTTTCATGATCCTGGACGTGTATAAGTTAAGTCAGCTGATTGGCTGTGCAAAAGCATCTGTTCGCTTTCCAGACAGTGTGGATTGAGTTCTGTGCTCTGAGGGCTCTCCTGGATCTGTCTCTTCCTGCTCTCCCACTACCTGTGCTGCCTCATGCCTCTCGGACACAAACACATGGACGTGGGCACATATGTCTCAGCGTGTCCCAGTAAGCTAATGTGAACGCCATCCAGAAAGCTCTAGTTCATGCTGAATCTTAACCAAAAACGATCCAACACTGTTGTTACTAAAACACAACCAAGACAAGAAGCCATTTTCCCTTTGACTCCACTGATGACCACTTCTTAAAGCCCAGCAAATAAGCAAACCTGGCTAAGCATTTGCAAACTTAGGATTCACTTGCCTTTCTGGCACACACTTTTCTTCACCTCTTGGATCTTCACTGTAACATAATTAAAGGAGAAAGAAGGGGTGGGGTGATGAATGACCCCATACACCTGCTTCTATAAGGGGACACTCCCCCAACTTCCTGACAATGCCACTTCCCTCTCAGGTGCTGCCACCATGATCCAGAGACTGGATTTTCCCAGTCAGAGGGTGGAGGGGCAGCAGTGACCACAAAGTCCCCCATCCCTGACAGAAGATCAGAATATGAGGTAGCTTGGCTCGTGACCTCATTTTTCATTTACAAATCAGGTCACGAGGCAAACTGGAGCATCCCTAGCAGGTGGCCTGGCTGCTCTTTGGAGAGAGAAGCCCTGAGAAGGTGAGCACCCCACTGGACATGGAGACACCTCGCATCATTTCTGGTTTTGAAAGCATGCTGCGTTCCTAACTCAGCAAGATCACCAGCACCAGGGGGCCCAGCCTAAGAGCGTTGAATGAAATCATTGGGACCTCAGTTAATTGGAAATTCGAACTCCTTTATTTGTCTCAATAGTCTTCCCACCTCCTGTCCCCCTCCCTGACCCTGAAAGGAAAGATAACAACATTCCAGATTAGGCACTTCAGAGTGTCCCAAGATCCTATAATGCTAATGGGCATTTTAAACACAAACAGGCCAAGGTTCTTTCCAACCCATCTGCTCCTCTGAGCTGAGTCCACAACAGCCCTGTGTGCAAAGGAGAGGAGGACATGGCAGCAAGACAGGTGGGACGAAGTACTGAGGGAGATGCTGTGCAGCGAAGGAGTGGTGGGTGGGAAGGGAAGCCATGCTCACAGGACAGCGGCCGCTGCTGGAAAGCTTCTGCTGGGCACGGACCATCGCCAGCAGGTCCCCGCCCCCTGCCCTGTGCAGAGTCTGCAGCTCCTTGGTAACCCAACCTGTTGGAAGATCAGCTGCCCTAGAATGACGCCTTTAGCCATGAAGGTAACCAGACACATGAGTTCATCTGCTACTGGTCCCTCCCCCTTCAGGGGCCGTGCTTCTGCCCACCCCCACCTCATCTTCCAGGACACCTGTCCTGCAGTCAGCCTGAAGCTCAGCTCCACAGTGCTCGAGGAACAAACTGGTGAAGGGAAGGCCCGCTGCTGCGGAGTCAAGGTTAGGCATTATGTTCTGTGACCTCGTGTTCCCCAGAGATGAGACAGAAAAATAACACTTTTCGAAGACCGTTCTTTGTGTTTAAGGGAACTGTGGGCCCTTGGAGCAGTGGGGGCTTCCAGATAGGCCAGAATGGAGTGGACCCTGGGGCATCCCCAGTACAACAGCTTCTCCATGGTCCCGTGAGAGGGTCATTTGGAACACCAGTTGGCCACGCTACTCCGTGACTGGGGAGTCCAATGGGACTTATGTCTTTGGTGACATTTTGGTATTTCCACTGGTTTTGCAGACCACCTGAATAGTGCTACCTTCACATCCCCTAGAACATGCCCTTCTCGAAACCCCCTTACCCCATGCCTTTGCCACTGTGTGCTCTCAATTTTTCTCCTAAAATTTTGACACCCCCCAGTTAGAGGGCTACTTTTCTATCCAACAGGTAATCTTAGCCATCTTCCCCACCCCTCCAGCCTGGGGCTCTGGCCACTGACTTCTCCTATACTTGGCCACAGAGGGGTCCCTTGGATGGTCTCTCTTAGGACCTTGTGTTGTTTGCTGTGGAGAGTGCCTCGTGGCCTAGTGTGGCCAATCTCACCTCGCCAGGAGATGTGACCCACTAACACATGGCAGCTCTGACCCAAAGGCCACATGTGACAGTAATCTGGAGCCACAGACAGGTTCCCTCCATTAGCAGCCCATTGGGTTAGAAATTCCATGTTGGGTTTACATAGAACGAAAGATACTTGAATTGTTGAGCGCCCGTGAGCGCCCAGCCTCTGCTACCCAGTATTAACAGATGGCCATCGCTGTGAAATGGGAGTGATGCCTGAGGGTCTCAATGATGCTTGAGCCTTTTATGTAACTTTTTATTAAGTCTTTGTGTATCTCAACTCATTAATAAAGAAAAGAAGAACACTTGGCTTATTTCCTCTTATTCAGATACCCCTGAAGTGTTGCTGAGAACGTAAGTTGTCCATGTCTGGCCCAGAGCAAACTGAAGTAGGGAGGAGAAGAGAAGTGTCTCCTTCCTACCTGGAGCCAGAGGATGAGGGCAAGTGAGCACATAGCCTCCTGATGTCTGGAAGCCCTGGATTCAAGTTCTGCCACTGAGCTTTCCGTGCCTTTGAGCAACTTCCCTGCTTCGGTCTCCTGCTGCGCTGCCCAAGGACAGGATAATAGTGTGTACTTCCTAAACAGCCTGAGGACTGAGGCTAAGTGGTGGTATGGATCTCAGAAGAGGCACTCTTTGTAGAGGACACTGGGCTATCTGACACTGTTGCTTTCCGTGGAAAGAAATCGCCCCCTGCCCCGATCCACAAGATCACAGTCTTTTGTGCAGTGTGGTTTCATTTCTCTGTTAATTGAAGCTGGTGGGTACTTGGCCAAGTTGAGTCTCTCTGGCTCCTTTATCCAGGGACTAGAGACCAACCGACCATATCCCTCTTGTGTACTATCTTTGGGGAGTAATGGGTAAAGTGTGTAGACCTGGGGGCACCTCGCCCTCTCTGGGCTTGGAGCAGCCTAGGGTAGGCGCAGTGGTGTGGTGGCTGCTGGGCCTAGCTGCCCACACATTCATTCTGCACGTATTGATCAGGTATTGGGCGGGATGCTAGGTCCATGGTAGTGAGCAGAGCAGGTGGTCTTCTGGTCATACATTCTCCTTTAGTCCTGTGGCTATTGTATCAAAGTACCACAAACTTAAGCAGCTGCTTAACAGAGAAGTTTATTCTCTCACAGTTCTAGAGGCCGGAAGTCCAAACTCAATAGACTGAAGTCGAGGTGTGGGCAGGTGTGTGCTCCTTCTGGAGGCTCAGGGGGAACCCATTCCTTGCTTCTTCCTGCTTCTAGAACTTCTGGCATTGCATGGCTTGGGGCCATTTCCCTCCAGTCTTCAAGGCCAGCATCTTCAAATCTCTCTCTTCTCTATCTTCCCATGGCCTTCTCCTCCCTATGACAAACCTCCCTCCCTTGAAGCTGATGCTCCCTCCTTCACTGAGAAAGTTGAAGGCAGCTGAACAGAATTTCCACAGCCCCCCTCCACCATCTCCTCCCACCCTCTAGCATGGGCACCCACACACTCTGCCTTCCTGGCTCCTATAGGCGGACCATCCATGCTCCCGGCTGAAGCCAGTCCCTTCTCTTGCTTCTCATGGGTACGAGAACATCCAGGACTTCCCTCTGGCTCTTCACCCCCTCTCTTCTCCATCATCTGTTCTTCCCTTTCTTGGATCTTTCCCATCTTCAGACAAACAAGAACAAAACTTTCCTTTGAAGCACTGCCTCTGCCAGATACCACTGGCTTCTCTGCTGTCTTTTGCAGGAAGCCATCTTAAAAGGGTAATCTACACTCAGTTCATGAATCACTCTCATCCATTCTCTTTAGACTTCTCCAAACAGACTTTCACCCATCGTTCCACCACCACCACCCTTCTTCTCAAGGTCAGCCATAGCTTCCATCTTGCTAATTCAGTGGCTGGTTCTCAGTCTTTTCACATTTGATCTTGCAGCTTTGGCACAGGTTTTCACTCCTTCTTTCTTGTTCAACTTTTTTCCATTGGCTTCTAGGATGCTGCCATCTCTGTTTTTCTCCTTCCTCCTGGTCACTCCCTAAAATCTTTTGCTCGTTCCTCCTCCTCTGTTGGAGCACTCCAGAGCTCAGTCCTTGGTTCTCTACCTGCCACATGATCCAGTAATACCACTATTGGGTATTTATCTGAAGAAAACAAAACACTAATTCAAGAAGATGTATGCTCTCCTATTTTATTGCAGCATCATTCACAATAGCCAAGATATGGAAGCAACCCAAGTGTCCATCAACAGATGAATAAATAAGGAAAATCATACACATGCACACAAATATTATGCAGCCATAAAAAAGGATGAGATTGTGCTGTTTGAGACAAATGGATGACATTAGAGGGTATTATGCTAAGTGAACTAAGACAGAAAAAAAATCATATGATTCAACTCATAAGTAGTGGAATAAACAGCAAGTGAATCAATGAAAAAGCAGAATAAGACCTACAAATACAGAGAAGAAATTTTTTTGCCACAGGGAATGAGGATGGGGATTTGGGCCAAATAGGTGCAGGGGGAGGGCAATCCAGGTTTCCCGTTAGGGAATGAGCAAGTCATGGGAATAAAAGGCACAGAACAAGGAATAGAGTCAGTGATGCTATAATAATGAGGTAAGAGGACAGATGGTACCTTACACCTGTGGTGAACATAGTGTGATGTATAAACTTGTCCAATCACTAAGTTTTTACTTGAAATAATACAACACTGTGTCAACTGTACTTAAATTAAAAAAAAAAAATTTCCCCCAGATAATAAAAAAGCCACCTAGCCCAGTGACCATCTACACTTACTGTGGTGAGCACTGAGTAAGGTATAGAACTGTGGAGTCACTGTGCTGTACACCTGAAACCAATATAACATTGTACCTCAACTTTACTCCAATTAAACAAAGTCTCCGTGTCACAGGGGTTCCCAGCTCAAAAGGGATGATGAACCATTCTGACCTGTGCATTAAGAGGAATCCCTCCACCTGGGGGAGCTGGAAGGGGCTCTCATAAACTTAGCGCCCAGCGGATGAGGAGGTTGTTCGCTGACCAGATGAGATTTTCAGGTGCATATTGGGCCCACTTGTTCCATCACTTGTGAAGATTAAGGGATGCATTGCCCAGGCTCCCAGGACTCTTTAAAATAAAGTCCACCTCTATCTCCGCTCATGTCTGAAGAGGCAGTGGATAAAAGTTGGCTGGTGTCAGTCATGTTGGCATCGGCATCACCCAGGAGCTTATTGAAAGCGCAGACCTTGGGGTCCTGCCCCGATCTGCTCAGTCAGGAATCCACATTTTAGCAGATCTGCAGGGGAGTCAGGTGTGCGGCGCAATAGAGTTTAGAACATCAGCCCGGCATCAGACCGCCATCTAGTCTTGGGCTCACTGTGCCCCAGGACCCCATTCAACTACGTCCAGCTGGAGGAAGCCTCCTCGGCATTCAACTTGGCAGTGACAGTTTGCTCCTCTGCCCATAGCAGCAGCAGATTCTGTCTAGCAAGGCAGTGTGCTCCCAAGGGTCCTCCTGGTCAGCATGCAGTGCCCTTAATTATGAGGGAGTTCTACACAAAGGGGAGTGAGATCCCAGTTAGTTTCTCAAGCACTCTAGTATTTGCCTGCAAGTGTGGGCAGTTGTGTTGAATGTAAAGAACAAGAGAACTCACAGTCTGGACTAAGAACACTGGAAGGCTCTGGGTTCCTCAGGCACTCTGAAGGAGGAATATTCTGTGCAAGCTGGAGATACTTTTGTTCCCCCAGGAACTTTGCAAAGCTCCAACAGCGTGTCAATAGCTCATTATCGTGGTCATGTAAAAATGGAAACAGAAAGAAGAAAGCTGAGTTCACACAGAACCAAGCGCTGATGGATGCTTGCGGTAGAATGGATAGCCTCGCGATGATGCGATAAACCATGAACTCGGACTCGAACCCAGCTCCCTAGTCAGTCCGGCACCCACACCTGGGCTGATGAACAGAAGGAAAGTAATTGTGTAAGTGGTTCTCAAAGTGTAGGCCCCAGACCAGCAGCTTTCAGCAACACCTGGGAACTTACCAGAAATGTAGACGATCTGGCCCTGTCTCAGACCTACTGAGTCAGGAATTCTGAGGGAGTCCCCATAATTGTTTTAACAAGTCCCCCCTTGTTTTAACAAGCCCTCCAGGAGATTTTAGTGTTCCCTCAAGTTCGAAAACCTCTGTGTTAAAACATGTAAGTAAGAATAAAAACCCCCACCATGTGCAGGTAAATGGCAGCTTACTCTGTTCTCATCTGTAAGACAGCAGTGGGCAATCTAGGCAGAGCTGTCCAGGTCCTGCCCCCTCCTTCTGGCATCTGATTAATGAGGATCCCTCAAGGTCTGGAACCCAGGGACCCCAGCGCAGAGGTAGGTAACCTTGCCTCCCTGGGAGGACAATGGGGTCGCTGTCCCTGCCCTACCTTCCCCGAAATCATATATAAAATTATGCATATATGTGCATTCTTCTAGAGACTATCCTACTGTATCAGATTCTTAGCGTACCACTGTGCTTTATCCAACAGAAAACTGAAACTTGAACCTCTTTTTTCTGACTTCAGGCCATTCTGGCAGTTTCACAGCCACTGAGATCTGGAAGAGGAAATGAAAGGAGCAAAGATCCATTTACTTTTCTAAGAAGCTCTGACAAAATTCTTCATATGGTTGACACATCCCTGAACCCGCCCCCACAACATCCTGAGGGAGGGGGCCGGCCACCCTTCTCCCAGTTCCCCCACATGACTAAGTGTGTGACCCACATATGACTCACTCACCTCCCTCCCCCACCGTGATTTGCACCACCTGCTTCTCGGGCCCCAATACCCAGGTCCAGAATTGGTGAAGTGGGGAGGGGATAATCAGGATGCTTGATAGCACTGGGACTGGCTTGCAGCCTGCTGCTGGGGTGGAAGCCTGGCTGGGAAAGGCGGGCAGAGGAAGGATGTGAGGCACGTTGCAAAGGACCTTGACGTCTGATGTCCCTTCTCGAATTCATAACTACCTGGGCTGCAAAGTGCTGTGTGTTAGCATTAATATCACTTCTGGAGCTTGAGGGAAAAAAACCCAGAGAATCTGGTGCAGTTTGCTTGGGTTCAGGCCCCACGTGATTCAGCTCCACAGTCAGGGCTGAGACCACTGGCTGGTTCCACTTTATTCTGGTCCCTTTTCAGTGAACATCGCTTAATAAAAGAAACAGCTGCCTGGACGTGCCGGTGTCTGAAGTTACTAAAGGACCCTGGTTTCCCAGCCCTTTGTAAACAAACAGTTGACCATAGGGACTCCTCTTTCCATGATAGCAGGTCCTCTTGGAGCCTGGCTTGCCTTATTGATTCATCTGGTCACAAACTACAAGTTCACATCCCTTCCATTTTTATATCCCCAGGTCCCAAGGGAAGCCTGCTAGTACAAAGTTGACACTTGATGTTTATTAAATAAATGAATAACTCTATCAGCTACCAGCAGGGGCCTCCATGCCTTAAGCCTAAGTCAGACTCATCCCACAGCGTCCCAGCTCTGAAGTTCAGCCCCTGCCTCAGTTTCCACAAGGAAAGCTCACTCTCAGCAACCATTCCTGAGCTCTGCTGAGGACTTGGGGGTCCCAAGGATGTCCCCTCCATTGTCAGGGCCTCTCCCTTGTCATGGAAGACCCCCTCCCACCAACACCAGCCACCGAGTCAGCTAAGCAGCCACCCTTCAGACTTCCTCACCGTGCCTGGTTTACTTCCTTTTGCCATAATCCCATAATGCCTTCCAAGGCCGTAATACCATTCTGACTGTTACTAGGGTGACTGAAGTTTCCAGTCTGCTCAGGACTAAGGGTTTTCCTAGCACATGGGCCTCTCAGGGCTAACAACACAACAATTGGTCACCCTACTGGTAAGAATCAAATTTTTTAGCTTGTTCTATAACAACAACACTAACAACTCTAAACTAGGCTGTGGTTCTCGAACAATTACCAGCCATCCTATGCACCTGGGAGGCTGGTTGAGACACAGGATTTCCCGATTCAGCAGGTCTGGGGCCTGAGGATCTGCATTTCTCACAACTGCCCAGGGATGTGAAGTGGCTGGTCTGGTAGCACAGTCCGCGAACACCGATTAGCTAACACGCCTTCAATGGAGGGCTTGGGGCGGGTACGTGCCCGACGGGTCCTGGTGAGGGGAGAATGTTCGGTGGGCACTGATGGCAGGCCAGACACTGCTATTTGTATGTATCCTCTCATGAATCCTCACAGGCCCTCTGTGACGTAGGCGATACGATGCTTATTTTCCAGCAAGAGAAACGGAGGTCCGGGGACCGCCTAGTGATGGAGCCTGATTTGCACCCGGCTCTCTCTGGCTGCAAGGCTGGCTCTCAGTTTATACGCCCACCCCTGCTACCCTGAAGACAAGCTGCTCCCAGCTACCCGCACCACCCTTTTTTATTTTAACTTGTCAGAGGAAAGTCTTGCAGTGAATCTCCCACATTCCCACCTTCTTTCAAGTAAGCGAAATGCAGATCAACTTCCCGTGGGTGACTCAGCAGCAGCATTTTGAACCCAGATCACGGACATTTTCCAGAACTTCTGCACTGGACCTTCCCCCAGAGATAGTCTTTAGTCCTGTCCCTCCTGCCCCTTTCTCCAGCCTCTCTCCAAGCCTGGCCAGCCCAGCCCAGCAGTTAGTAAAGTAGGATCCCAGAGGCTTCAAGTCTGGGGTCCTCTGTCCTCCAGCCCAGGGGAGCACCCCATAACTAGGGATCCCATGGGCCTCCACATTGGTTCTACTCCCCTGAAGGCTGCCTGGGGGAGCCCTTGATGCAGGGTCTTATAACTGGCTTTTCTGGGACGTTCACAGCTCTTCCCCACCACCAGATGAATCCAGACTTCTCTTCCCTATTTGTGGTTGGCAATGCTGAACTTTCCAGTATTACAGGTACCCAGAGGCTGTGTAAGTGGGGGGTAAGAGCACACTGCCCAGGTCTAACCTAGCTATGCTGCTGCTTGAGGATTTTGGGCAAGTTGCCTGACTACTCTGTGCCTTGATTTCCTCATTTGTCAATTTGGGTAGATGATAATATCTGTACTTCCTAGGGCTATTGGGCTATTATTAGGTGTGAATTAGAAATGCACACTTAGAATAACGGCTGGCATGTAGAATCTGCATTTAAATGTTAGCCAATATCCCAGTAAATGTTTCTGGAGTGCCTACCAGTAACTCCAGCCACCATTTATTGAACACTTAGCAAGCACCTGTCATCGTGCTTTGCGTGGGTCACCTCATGTAAGACTTGGAGGAGCTGGGTGACTTGCCCAAGCACACAGCCCTAGTAAGTGAAGATCCCAGTCTAGGCCAAGCTGCCCTGCATGGACCCCTCTGCCTCCCTTGCAGGGCAGCCCCTGGGCTGGCCATCAGTGAGAAGGCTCGGCCTCACCCCATCGCCCTCCTTCCCTTGGATGGCCATCCTGGAAGTCTCTGTACTGTACCCCCATCCTCCAGCCACATCTCCTGCCCTCCTCCTCTCCCCAGCCTGCATCACTCCCCCTTGCACCAATGCTCTTCTAAAAGTTGGCCTCCACAGTCCACTCACTCTGCCGGTTGTCGTCTCCTTTCCTGGTCCCAGGGCTACTCTGAACTCTGCTCTGACCAAGCTCCCCTTACCAATCAAAACAGATTTGACTTTCATGAGAAGCAATTTGGCATCCTGCCCTGAGAGGCTTAAAATCCTCCATCCAAAAAAGTCCTCTCCTGGGACCCTCTCCTAAAGAAATCATCAAAGATGCAAAGAATTATGAAGAAAGATGATCTTTGAATTTATAAGCCAAAAAAATTGGAAGTGATCTAAGCGAACAATAATTGGGGAATGATTAAATAAATAATGCTATATCCACAGAATGGAGAACGACCCAGCTATTAAAGAGATGTGTGACTCAGTGTAAGAAATACATATTTCCTGTCCTTTTGCCCACCCTGAGAGTTATCATCTTTGTCAAAATCTTTGCTTAGTGGAAACCTGAAGAAGATGGCATCCAATTCCTTTTATTTTCATTATTTTGACTACCAATAAGAATGGTTACTTTTTTCAGATTTGTTAATTTTTACTCCTTATGAATTGCCTATTTATGCCCTTTCTTCAATTTTCTTTGGATATTTCATTTTTCTTGATTGTTAGTTTCTATTAAATTTATTGACCACTTATATGTCATATTCATTGCAATTTTTCCCTAGCATGTAATTTCTTTTCATTTGTTTTATTTTTACACTGTAGACATTTTACATTTTATATGTTCAAAACTATCATTTTCTCTTTTATGGTTTTTGTCTTTGATGTGATGCTAACAGGATCCTTTCTCATCCAAATAGTATTTTCTTCTAATACCTTTATACTTAATACCTTTTTTTCCTGCTCATGAAATAATAAAATGGAAATGTCCATACCTCATACCCTTATAGTGAAGATTAAATGAGCTGATTCACAGCAAGTTCTAGAAACAGTAACTGGCTCATAGTGATACTTCTGTCACTGTTAGCTATTATCAATTGCAACTAACTCACTGGAAATTTTTTCTGGAGGTAGGGGTGAAATAGGTTTTGGTTTTGTGTTGAGCCAGAGTTGTCCCAATGCTGTGTGTTTGATAATACATCTTGTCATCAAAAAGCCAGTGGCTGTAATGCAATCTTTGTGTTGACTCCAATTTCAGGGGGGAATTCCCTTTACAGAGCTATGGGCTGGGGGGGAAGGCTGCTCCAAAGCTCCCTGCTCACCTTCTCATCCTGTACTCTCCCCCATGACAAGGTCAAGGCCTGTGTCACAACAAGTTTCCTAAGTAGGGTTCAGACCCAACACATGCTCAGCCTGCCATGCTCTTTCCCAGCTCACGTTCAGCACCACATGGCCTCAGTCTTTCTCCACTTTTCTCTCTCTTCACTTTGTTCTCTGGGGCCAATGAGACTCGGGTTTTCTCCAGCCACTCTCCCACAGGCCACTGAGTCTCCTCAGCCGAGGTCCACATAGCCCCTAAACCCAGCTGGCAAGCCACATAGGAGCCAAGAAAGGACAGACCCTTTGTCCCCCAAGGGTGGCAGTGAGGGGAATGAGGGGGGTGCTCTATCCCCTGAGGGTCATCCAACCAATCTTTCTGGCCACTGCCAATTCCTGGTTCCCCTAACAGCCAGCTTTCCTCTGTCTGAGGCTCAGTGTTAATCTTCCTTCTTATAATTCACCTCTGCAAGGAAGTGTACAAGTGACATATTTTCTCAGATGAGCATACTATCAAAAGTTGGGGAAGAGGGTGCCTGGGTGCCTCAGTCGTTAACCATCTGCCTTTGGCTCTGGTCATGGTCCCGGAGTCCTGGGATCAAGCCCCTTGTTGGACTCCCTGCTCAGCAAGAAGCCTGCTTCTCCCTCTCCCACTCCCCCTGCTTGTATTCCTTCTCTTGTTGTCTCTCTGTCAAATAAATAAAAATCTTTTTAAAAAAGAAAAAAAGGGTTGGGGAAGGAGATGGGATTTTTTTTTTTTTTTTTTTTTTTTACAGAGAGGTCTTTATTGATCAGGCAAAGAGCTGAAATGGCGCTTTTAGAGGGCTGAGTCCTGGGTGCAACCAGTGGCGTCCTGGGAGGGGGGGTTGGGCACTGCTGACTGGGCATTTGTGTGAAGGGCGCCCTCTGACCTCCCCAGCAGCCCAGGCCTGCGGAGCGAGGGCTTCCACGCTGTCCCTTTCCCCCAGGGCGCCGGAGGAGGATATGAGGAACTCCTCTCGGGTGAGAAACCGGGCTGCGGAGATGTAAGTCCCGCGGTCCTGCCGCGACTCTGAGCGCGTCCTCCCTGCCAGCCCCTAACTGCGATCGTCCCTCTGACCTTGGCAAGCTATCCTAACTTTGTGGGCACAGGTTCTATCGCCCGAAAAACGGAGCTCCCCTGAGAACTTGCTGCAAGAGGTGTCGAGGATTAAATGAGTTGATGCATTCAAAGGGCTTACAGTAGTGTGTGGCACACGCGTAGAAGGTTCTGATATGCGTAGTTGCTGTTTTTAGCATCACTAGCATTTATAGCCACGGCGGCAGCCGCGATGTTACCCTCATCCGAGGTGCCCCGGGGGCGGGAACGCGGGGAAGCCAGGCGGTATCCCTCTCTTCCACCAGGGGGCGCCATCGCAGAGCGCATGGGCTGCTCCCCAGGCTCCTCGCAGCGCCGCTGGCCGGGGCCGCCTCCGGCTCATCAAACTT